TTCCATGATAACCCATCAGTATAACAAATTGTTATGAAGTAACTTTGCCACTTTTTTTTGTTTGTATGTGTAGTTTGGACAGCCTTCTAAGAGATGTGTGTGTCTGTGTGTGTACGCACGCACGCACGCATTAAAGATATTTTTATCACAAAAAAAATCTGAGTAATTGCCTTGACTCAGAAAAATTTATTTAGAGAAATTGTTTAATATTCCAGGACTATTATTTTGATATTACAAAATCTAAAAAAGATTATTTAAATTAACATGCCCTGGCTGGTTTGACTCAGCGGTTAGAGTGTCGGCCTGCAGACCAGAGAGTCCCGGGTTTGGTTCCCGCTAAGGCATGTACCTCAGTTGCAGTTTGTCCCCAGCCCGGTGGGGGTCATGTGGGTGGCAACTAGTCGATGTGTCTCTCTCTCATCGATGTTTCTCTCTCTCTCTCCCTCCTGCTCTACCTGAAGATAAATGCAAAAATGTCCTCAGGTGAGGATTTTAAAAAAACAAACATCTACTTGAGTTCCTGATAATGAAGACCATTGTCAACAATTTTTTAAGCTTGTGGATTTTAAAATTAATTTATGGCATTGGTTCATTTGAAATATACTGTATGTAATCATTGCAGAATCTGCCACAAGCAAGGCAGGGGAAAGGAAATTAGGCCTCATCCTGAGCAACGAGGACTTGTGGAATGATGGGGGAAGCCAACGGAGCCAGTTCTCGCCAGCCCTTCCCTGGGTGACAGTGTTCTAGGATGGGGAGGGGCAGACACAGGTATTCAGGGAACCATGGCAGCCCAGGTCATACAGGCCACCAGGCTTTCACCTGAAGGCTGAGTTGGGAAAGATTCTTAGAAGAGGTAATGACTCAACTAAAGGAGTTCAAGTTAAACTGGTGAGTAAGGGGAATTGAAAGGGGGAGTAGAGGGCATACAAGGTAAAGAAAACATTCTGAACAAAGGTACACAAACAAGAACTAGTGTGGCATAAATGGGGAATGACGATTCTGTATGAGACAGAAAGGGTCAAAGAGATAAGAGTAAAAGTAGGCAGTGCCTCCTCATGTGAAGGAAGGCGGAGCCGATCCTCTAAGATAGGGGGAAGCAGTGAAGGATTTTCCACAGAGGAATGACATTCTCAAATTTGTATTTTAGAAGGAGTTCTCTGGTAGCACTGAGGAAGATAGATTTGAACAAGGACCACTTAGGAGGCTGTTGCCATATTTCGGAGAACTATTGAGGGACTGAATTAGGGTAGTGGTCAGACACAGAAAAGAGGTTGATTTGGGAATAGTTGTGAAGTAACAGAGGCAAGAGTTGGTGGCTAGGACTGTTCATCTGTGGCCCATACATGACATTTATTCATTCAGTCAACAAATTTTATTGAGCATGTACTATGGTTGGCAGTAGACTGTTATGCTGGGCTCTTATTTTATGCCTTCATCATTTCTGGATGTCTTCTCCAATAAGGATCCTTGATTGTGTGACATTGTGAGTTAATGGACACATTTCATAGCCCTCATTCATTCCAACCTGACCCCGTGGCTCATTAGATTTACTCTCATATAAGAACCTATTCAGAGCCCCAGCATACATGCCAGTCTCCTACTTAGGAGGCAGTATTCATGTGTCTGGGTGTGTCTTAACTCCCAGCCAATAGACCTGAGCTTATTTGTGCCTTCATTGGGTGGGGCTGTACAGGTCATGAAAAATAAATACAGTAGGTTCCAAAGCATTTTATCCATATAATAATTTTATTTTATTTTTAGCTCTGTTGAGGTATAATTGGAAAATGAATTGCATATATTTAAGGTATACAACTTGATGTTTTGATATATGTATATTCATTGTGAAATGACCACTACAATCAAGCTAATTAACATATCCAGCACCTCAATTAGTTTACCCTTTTTTTTCCCTAGAACACTTAAGATCTAGCCTCAGCAAATTTCAAGTATACAATACAGTAATGTTAACTAAGGTCACTAGGCAGAACACTAGATCTCTAGAACTTACTCATCTTGTAGAACTAAATTTTTTTCTTTATTGATTTTAGAGAGAGAGGAAGGAGGAGGGAGAGAGAGAGAGAGGATCATCAATTTGTTGTTCCACTTATTTATGCATTCATTGGTTGCTTCTTGTATGTGCCCTTACCAGGGATTGAACCTGCAACCTTGGCATATCAGGACAACGCTCTAACCAACTGAATTACCTGGCCAGGCATATAACTAAATTTTGTAGCTTTGGGCCCACATCTTTCCCATTTACCCCACTTCTCAACCCCTGGCAATCACAAGCTTATTCTATGCTTCTGTAAATTTGACTATTTTAGATTCAGTTTTGGTAAGTTGTATGTTTCTAGGAATTTATTGATTTCTAGATTGTCCAGTTTGTTGGCATATCATTGTTTATAATAGTTCCTTAAAATTCTTTTCATTTATGGAGCATTGATTGTAATATCTCATCTTAAGAAGGTTGAAGGTCTCAGCATTCAGTAAGACTCCCTCCATCCCCCATTTCCACCCCCACCCACTCCAACCCGTCTGGCCATGCTACTGCGCCGTTGCCAATGCCTGTCCTCAAGTCAGACAGTGCTGGGTCCCTCTGTTTCACTTGTCAGGAGAAGCAGTCCCAGTCTTCCAGCAGGAGTCAGGGAGAGGAACTGAGGGTCTGTTCCTACAGCAGGTTTCAGTATTTCCTTCTGCCCTCTGTCCCTCCTTCACTCTACTTAACACCAACTTGAGATTCCCGCTCTTGGCTTTCACCGTTACCAGCCCTTTAAGGTTCACCTTCCTTTAGTTTGCTAAATTGGTTATGAATTATCCATCCCTGGCCTAAGGAGACTTATTTTTGTCTCTCCTCTCTGCTTCTCTTAGTCCTTGTGAGATGATGCCTTAATAATTAAACAAGCCCTGGCCGGTTTTGCTCAGTGGTTAGAGCGTTAGCCTGCGGTCCCCAGAGACCTTGGTTCGGTTCCCGCTAAGGGCACGTAACTCAGTTGCAGTTTGTCCCCGGCCCTGGTTGGGTTGTGCGGGTGGCAACTACTCGATGTATCCCTTTCACGTCGATGTCTCTCTCTCTCTCTCTCTCTCTCTCTCCCTCCCACTCTATCTGAACAAAATATCAAAAAATGTCCTCGGGTGAGGATAAAAAAAATAAAATAATTAAACAAGGTTTAGGGAGGGAGCATTCATCCTGTCAACTAGAAGTTTTTATGCACTTCTTACGAAAAGTAAAGTAACAGTTTTGGTGTGTCTGTTTTTAATGTTGTTATTGATTCCTGATCATGCATCAGTGGTCTGAGTGACAGGAACAACCAAGTGCCTTGAAGCTCAGCATATCCCTGAAGGGCCCAGCAAGCACGTCAGTATGCAAGTGTAGCTTTTTGGGGGAGTTCCAGAGACCATGGCTAATGCCATCGTCAAGTCTGGAGGCTAAGAGATGTTGAGAGGGAAGGAACAATAACAAAAATTCTGGTTTTATTTTTCTCCTCTTTGTTATTGTCATTTTATTCACTAATTTTTTAAAAAGTTGTTTCTGAGTATACAGGTGAGCTGCTGCTCATCTTACTGGAGATGCTTCATGTTGCCTGACAGATACCTCTAGGCCTGTCCTTGGCCAAATAACTTTCATTCTGCCTGTGTTGTGAACATACAGATAAGTTGCACCCCTGCTGGATTTCAAGGGGAACTTTCTTAAGAACACATACATTCTCTTCACATCATCTTTATTAAATCATCTAAAGTTTCCTAATTTAAAAAAATAAAATTGCTAAAGTTATCAGAGTGAAACCTCTGACAAAAGATATGCCCTCAGTTCCCATTTGTGTGTCTGTTTATATGTATTTAAACATGCATGTACACACCACACACAAACACATGCTTGGCTTTTTAATTGTGTGTATTTGTATTTGCAATTCCTGTTCTTGGATTTCTGCTTATTGATGGAGAAATCCATAAAACCAAACTGATGGTCTTAATACAAATCCATTTTTTCACTAAGGCAGCTACAAGTTGACTTCCTATCACATTTGCCACATCAGTTATTTCTAACTATATTCAGCCTTTATCTAAATATTCAACTCAGCCATCAGCCCCTTTTGTTCCGCAGAGGTAACCTCACCTGTTACTTTTCTAAGAAAATCAAAGCTTCTCAATCTGGGCTCTCTTGCCTTTCCCTTTGCTTTCTACAATTTTACTTTATTTCCCCTTATTGTTTTTATTTTCTAACTATGTTAGAGAAATAGTTATCTTTCCCTGGTAAGGCTAAGCCCCCTATGCTTACATGGAACAGTAGAGGGACCAGCATGTACAAAAAGGCCTGGAAACTTAAAAAACATAGTTGTGGAGAAAATATAGATTTTCCTTCATGGATAAGTAGGCTTTTGAGTTCAGTGGGCCTGGTTTGAAGGCTAGGTCTGCCACTTTCTACCTAAATGAACTTGAGTTGTGCATCATTTTCGTTATCTATAAAGTGGATGCCAGCTATCTCCTAGGGTTTTCACGAGGTTAAATAGTGTGTGGTAAGCTGTTAGTACATGGTGGTGGTTGTTGCTCTTAGGGGGTAACAAGGAGTAAACCTGTGACAGTTGTTCATTTCAGAATAAGTATTTGTTTATGTTTCTGTCTCTTACACTGACTGTAAACTAGAAGCCCTACAAAGTTAGAAATGCTGTCATTCTCATCTTCTGCTAAACACCTAGCACATCCCCAACACACCTGAAATAAATGGATTGTGTGTTGAAGGAATGAAGAGTGAAGGTTGCATTTATATTGATCAGATTGATAAGTAAATTCACCTGTTTTCAGAGTCTGTGGCTAATTAAAAGCTTCAAAGATTTTTGGATCTCATTGCTAGGAATCTGTTTGCTGCATATTGCACTGTTTCCAGATTCTGGCTTTTAATATATCACTTCTGCATTGGAGACTTGGGCGAAAGAGTGTGTGTGCTTTTTTATCGTGCCATCAATAATAGTTTATTAACTGGTTCTTTTTTCCCCCCTCAGGGAGGTGGTGCAAGCAAACTGTGTTCACTGGAGGAAGAAGTTCTCATTCATGTGCAAAATGAGTGCAAGTGCTGCCACCGGCATCCTGGATCCTTGTGTCTACAGGGTGTCTGTGCGCAAGGTATAAAAATAGCCTGTCACTTCTCCCCTTTCAGGAACCATATTTAGTCCCCTAGTCCCTGGCACACTTTATTTAGCTCTGCTTTATCCTTAGAACTGCTATATGCAGTTTTGCTCTACACTTGCAGCATAAATTCAGATCACCATGACAACTAAAGTGAAGACTCTGAAGTTATAAATTAAGATATTATTCAAGAACCTTATCTCATTACCATGATATGGGGACCCTATTTGTGTTATTTTGGGGGCTATGTATGTCTACAGCTTGCTATTCATTAACTTCCTCTTTGTTAGGTGTTGTTTTAGAGACTTGACACATGTGATGTCTAATAATGACCCCAAAAGTAGGTGTTATTTTTTTTTTTCCATTTTCAGGAAAACTCAGGCTCAGGGAGGTTGTTACTTACCCAAATTCACATAGCTAATAAATGGCAAAGTAGGGACTGAAACACAAATTTTTCTAATTCCAAGTCCATATTTTCTTTTCTAAATATTTCCTTTTGGCCTGGCCAATGTGGCTCAGTGATTGAGCGTCGACCCATGCACCAAGAGGTCGCTGGTTTGATTCCCTGTTAGGGCACATGCCCAGGTTGTGGGCCCGATCCCCAAGGCAGGAGGCAGTCAGTCGATGTCCCCTCTCATTGATGTTTCTATCTCTGTCCCTCCCCCTTTCTCTCTCTCTCTCAAATCAATAATGAAAAATATTTTTTTAATAAAAAATATTTCCTTTTCACATATCAGGTTGAGGCATATTACCAACAATCTACGAAAATGGCAATCTCAGGATGGTTCAACTTAGTCATATATAAGTATGCAATTCTGCCTTCTTTGTGTGTGAAAAAGAAGAATCCATTAGTCACCACTACTGACAAATTAAACTACTGGCTATAAAATGTCAAGTAGACACATACAATTCGCCATCACAGACCTGAAAGTAAAACCCCCCTACGTCAGTTTCCTAGAGCTGCTGTAAGGAGGCACCACAGACTGAGTGGTTTAAAGCAACAGAAGTGCACACAATACAGTACACAGATGATATATTTTAGAACTGCACCCCTGAAACCTATATCATTGTATTAACCAGTGTCACCTCAATAAATTCAATAAAAATAAAAATAAGGAGTTTAAAAAATTAAAAAACAAAAAAATATGAAGCAGCAGAAATGTATTGTCTCACAGTTCTTGAGGCCAGAAGTCAAAATCAGGGTCAGCAGGGCCCTGCTTCCTCCGACGGTGCTAGGGAAGGAACTCTTTCAAGCCTCCCTCCTGTCTCTGGTAGCCTCAGGCATTCCTTGGCTTGTGGAAGCATCACTCCAGGCACAGGGCTGTCTTCTCCCTTTGTGTCTTCACACCATCTTCCCTCTGTGTGTGTCTGTGACGACATTAAAATCCACCCCCCTTTTTTCCCCTTTATTGATTTTAGAGAGAGAGGAAGTGAGAGGGAGAGAAAGATAAAAACATCGATGAGAAAGTACATCTATTGGCCACCTTCTGCATGTCCCCCACCGGGGATCAGGCCCACAGCCTGGGCATGTGTCCTGACCGGGAATCAAACCAGCAACCCCTTGGTGCATGGGTCGATGCTCTACCACTGAACCACACTGGCCAATGCCCCTCCCCCCTTTTTATAAGGACATTTAATCATATTGGATTAGGACCTCATTCTAACTAGATTACTATGCAAAGATTATTTCCAGATAGGGTCATTTCTGAGGTACTAGAGGTTAGGACTTCAACATTTCTTTTTGGGGGAGAGGACTACAATTTAATCCATAACTGGCCCTAAGATTATGATAAAACTGGGGATTTATACTTATGAAATTAGTGGATTGGCTTGTTCCAGACACCCTTCCCTCTGAGAACAACCAGGGAAACTGGACAAAAGATTAAAAACAGCCGCTCGAAGACATCAGAAGCTGCCGAGGCAGTAAGCACTTGACAGGTTTAGAATCGTGGACAAGGGAAGCAGAAAGAGATAAACCTGACATTTGTCATTGCTTTTCCCCTCAAAGCATGTGTTCATGTGCAGGTAGTGGTTAAGGAGATGAGTCAAAGCTATGACAGAAGTTAAGAAGCTGAACTGATGAGGGGGAGGGGGTGGTAGAAGGCGGTATAGGGGGGATAAATGGTGATGGGGAAAAATAAAATGAAGAAGAAAAAAAAGCTGCACTGAGATTCGTAGTTTTACAGGTCAGAAGGGACAACAACTGGGGTCCCGGATCCATCAGCAGAAGGGCCCTTCGTAACTACCAGGCTTTCGTTGGTTCTTTCTAAGAGTTTCAGCCTATAGTGGATGTAGATTGGCTCTTATAAAGATTGAAATTCAGCTCTAATGAGCTCAATCCTTGCTTGGATGAAGGTGATCTGCCCCTATCTTACTACTTAACAGAAGCAAATGTATATTTTCTCAGAGGGAAAATAACATTACTCTGAACCTCAAATTATTTCTTCAAGTTGTCATGCACAAAAATTACCAAGAATAACAAGAGGCACGACTGCACGACCAAAAACCAACAGGATAAAATAGGGAGATGGCTTAAGAGGGCAGAGTCCATGCTTTGTCCTTCTCACTCCCGGGGAAATATAGCACAAAAACATTTGTGCAAAGAGAAAGTAAGTGAAAGGGCTGATTTTTAAGCTCAAACCCTAAAGAACTGGTTTTTAACTCAGTCGAAGCTTGATGTTTAATTAAAGAACATTCAACAACAAAAACAAATAAAAGGAAAAAACAATGAAGAGACCCATGGAAGAGATAGATACAGGGAGATCAGAGACAAACTTTTACAATAAATAAGTAAACAATATGCGGATTTCCATTAGAGAACTAGAAACTATAAAAAAGAAACAAATTGAATTCTAGAACTGAAAAATACAGTAACTAAAATGTAAAGCTACATAAATGAAGATAAACCTCAACAGGTAGATTGAACAGCAGGTTTACCATAACTGAAGAGAGCTTTGGTAAACTGAAAGATAAGACAGAAGAGAATATCCAGAGCAAATCACAGAGAGAAAAAGGGTGGAATACACGGAAAAGAGTGTAAGGCATGGGGAACAGTGGCAAGAGCTACCGTATGTACGACTGGAGCCCTAGAAGGAGAGGAGAGAGATTGTGGCTGCGAATCTTCTAAACTGATGAAAAATATCAAGCCCCAGATTCAGAAGTCCTGTGAACCCCATTTAGGATAAACAACAAGTCTGGCATGTTTAAATGACAGCCCAGCCTGGAAAACAAGGAGAGCGAAAGTTCTGGTGATGAGGCTGGAGGCACTAGGTCAGACAAGGCCTTACAGGCCATGGTGATGCATTTGAATTTTATTTTAATTGAAATTGGAATCCATTTGAGAATTTTAATAAGGAGAGATATTGAGACATGATCTTCTGAGATCCTGCTGTGTGGAGGATGAATGCAGAGAGACCACTTTGGAGTTTAGGACAGCTCAGGTGAGGAATGCTAGTTTTGGCATGGGGTTACAACAGTACGGTTGCATGATTCAGAATGCCTTTTGGAGGAAGACCCCCACTAATGGATTGGATATGGCAAATGAGGAAAAAAGAATTGAGGATAACTTATCTCTTTCACCTGAGCAAATAGGTAGATGATTGTGCTATTTATTGAAATGGCTCAAAGGCTCAGGGACCGATTTCAGGGACAGCTAAGCAGAGATCAGAAGTCCTCTGTTTTAGCCGTGTTAAAGTTGATGTGTCAATGAGACATCAAGTGGATATGTGAAGCAGCCATTTAAAAATACTAGTCTAGCCCTGGCCAGTTTGGCTCAGCGGTTAGAGTGTCAGCCTGCGGTCCAGAGAGACCCGGGTTCAGTTCCTGCTCAGGGCACGTGCCTTGGTTGCAGTTTGTCCCCAGCCCTGGTTGGGTGGTACGGGAGGCAGCCACTCAATGTGTCCCTTTCACATCGATGTGGTTCTCTCTCTCTCCCTCCCACTCTATCTGAACAAAAAATGGAAAAAAATGTCCTCGAGTGAGGATTAAAAAATAAATTTAAAAATACTAGTCTAGCCCTGGCCAGTTTGGCTCAGCGGTTAGAGCGTTGGCCCGCGGCCTAGAGTGTCCCGGGTTCAGTTTCCACTAAGTGTGTGTACCTCGGTTGCAGTTTGTCCCCAGCCCTGGTTGGGGTCATGTGGGTGGCAACCAGTTGATGCTTCTCTCTCACATCGATGTTTCTCTCTTCTCTCTTCCCTTCTCTCTCACTCCTGCTCTATCTGAAGATAAATGCAAAAATGTCCTCAGTTGAGGATAAAAAAAAATACTAGTCTAGAAGTCAGGGAAGTGTAGACTAGAGGTAGAGATTTGAGAGTCATCAGCATACACTTTTTTATTTAGAGCCATAGGCTTGAATGAGCTCACCCAGGGAGAAAATATAGACAGAGAAAACAAGAGGCCTTCAGCCAAATCTTGGATCACTCTAACACTCAGAGGTAGAATAAATTACTGTTTGCAAGTCCAGGAAAGGAGCAAGAATTCATGCATATCACTTCTTATACGCTTTTGGCCAGATCTTAGTCACACTGCCATAGTACGAAAGGAAGGTAGGAAATGTAGCCATTACTTTATTTTGGGTAGCCAGATGTCCAACTAAACATAAGAGAATTCTGTTACTGTGGAGGGAAGGAGAATGAATAATTGGGGTACAACTAACGTTCTTTCTACAGAAGTTGAACACGAGTAGATCCAGCAAAGGAGAGTGAGAAGGAGCAGCCAGTGAGGCAGGAGTAAAACCAGGCAGGGTGGCATCATGGGCATTTAGGAAGAAAATGATGTAAGAAAGGAGGTGGGGTGGCAAGCCTGCCAAATGCTGTTACGAGATTAAGATGAAGAGAGAGCCTTTGGCTTTAACAAACGTGGAGGTCACTGGTGATGGGAAGAGCCATTGCAGTGGGAAACAGGACAGAAGCCAGTCGGAATAGATTGAATAGAGGGTGGGATGCAGCAAATTGAGTTAAGTCTGTGGTTGGCTGCATAGGGGAAGAAACAAAAGGATTGGCTAGGAGAGACAAGGATCATCTGAAGAAAGTTTTGGGTTTGTTTTGTTTTATTTAATGAAGAGTGCTATTAAGGGATATGACAACCTAATAAAGAAGAAAAATTCAGTAATTCATAATGGGGTAGACATAGCAGCATGGCTACACCTTACATCAGTGGGACAGGAAGTTGAGGGGCAACAGATATTCATGAATAATAGAATTTACCATCGATTACTTCTCAGCTTATTTAAATTCACCACCTTAAAGATGGAAATGGTAGATAATACATTAATATACCTGGTTTATGCAAGAAAGATAAAAGCCGACTCTATCCAGCAAACATGTTTTTAAAAGTATTGGGGAGGAGAGGGGAGTTTGGCCCTAATTATAGTGGCAAACACACAAACAGTGTATATTGTGTGCTAGGCATTGTTCTGAGTGTTTCACACTTACTAATTCTCACATATGTGTGATATCCTAAAGCCAGAGATTTGGCAAATTAATGTACAGTTTCATATTTTAAATTAAAGTAAAATGTTAAGGCATCTATATATTATTGTTTATTCTTTTTTACATTTGCCAGTCTTATTCACATTAGATAAGAGAGTTTCTACTATACTAACATTGAACATTACTATATATATATATATATATATATATATATATATGGGTAAGGTATAAAAGTAAGGTGTGTATAATATGCCATCATTGAGTAAAGGGGGTCTGTCTGTTGATCTATCTATATCTATATGCATACATATGCGTAGAGCAGCTTTTGGACAATTCCTAAAAATTGGTAACAGTGGTTGTCTCTGGGGCGAGGGTTTTGACTTATTAAAATCTTTTTATAATGTGTTAATGTGCTTAACTAAGTAAGTAATTTAACCTTTCTTTGGTGATTCAGGTTCTTGCAATGTGTCTGAGACCATTTTGGCAATTTCTTTAGCAAACAGATCAAATATTAGCATGTCTTCTCACCATTTGTTGCTTTCATATTTAAAGTCTAAGTAAAAAATCTGGTCATTTTAGGGGAGGAGCAGATAAATCAAAGGTTCTCAACCTTCCTAATGCCACGACCCTTTAATACAGTTCCTCATGTTGTATGTGGGCGTGTCTGCATGTGGGCAGACCCACCTGGAGATGGATAAAGGAACGGTGTTTGGTTCCTAATACCATCGGAAATACGTGTTTTCCGATGGTCCTAGGCGACCCCTGTGAAAGGGTCGTTCAACCCCCAAACGGGTCACTACCCACAGGTTGAGAACCGCTGATCTAAATAGTTGGACTTAAGATAATCAGAATTATACTATCTATATTTGCCAGTATGTAAAAGTCTGTTTCAGAATTATTTGACATAATATTTAATTTTAAGTCCTGAATCATATAACTTAATAGTGTTTTCTATCTTTGACAGGAATTAAAAGGTGGAAAAGCTTATGCAAAGGTAAGTAAATGATCTTTAACTGTTTTGGAGTGTGTAATATCATTCATTGCTATTTATAAACTTAAAAATTAAATAGTTTGCTCTTCTAATTGCCATTCAAATAAGCTGCTTTTAAATAAAGCAACCTGGAGATTGAACAGTTTCTTCAACAATAAATTATAGGCATTTTCTTTCTAAATGCTGATTATGGGGTGTTCTTTTTAAGTTTCAGTTTCCTGACTAGCAGATGATCTCTGGTTTGCGTTAAGTAATTTATTCTCCCCAGGAAGTATTCTCAGTCCCACCTCCACCAGTAGAATAGGACCCCTCCTCTGTGTCCTCTTACACTCTGTACATACATGATCTCTACTATCCTTTATCCTTTTACTACCTATATGGAATTACTAAAGAATGTCTTCACCTTTTTGCTGAATAGAAGGAATTAGTACTACTACCAAAAACCCACATACTCCTCTTTTATTTCCAGTCTCTGTGATCATATCTCCATCAATCAGTCATCAAAGTCAAGGACCGGGGCTACAGTTCCAACCATCAGTTCTGCCTAACTTCCTAAAACTAGTTGGTTGCAATGTCAGGATGCTCTTTTCTACAAGTGACAGCAAACCCTCCTCACCTAGAGATGTTTTAATCTCACAAAACAAGTAGATGTAAGATAGAGCTCCTCCAGGGTTGACGAGAACATCATCAAGAACCCGTGTTTCTTCCTCTCTCTGCTCTTTTGTTCTCGATGTGTTGACTTTGTCCTTGGCTAGCTGCCTTTGGTCACCAGGAGGCTGGCAGCTCAGGCTGGCTCACTTAGGACAAAAATCCAGCTGCTTCCCCATGTGTGACTTTTTTGAGTGAGAAAATTTTCCTCAGAGGATGTCCCCATATCTGTCATTGGCCACAACCGGATCATGTGTTCACTCCTGAACCAGTTTGGGCAATAGAACTAGACTGACATGGTTAGTTTAGACTAATCACAGTTTAACAAGGAGCTAGAGGTTTGGTTACTTTCCTTGTGCACATGAGTGAGCTAAGAGTAGACACTTGAATAAAATTATGGCTCTGCTAGAAAGGAGTACCAGGGCATTGAATGATGGACAGACAAGCAACAGGGTCCACTGTGATTGACACTTCCTCTTGCTTCCTTCCAAAAGCTCTTAAAACCATCTCTTCTCTCCATTCCAAAGGCCACTGAATGATGTTATGCCTTCATTCTTTCTTTTTTTTTTTTATCCTCACCCAAGGACATTTCTGCATTTATCTTCTAATAGAATGGGAGGGAGAGAGAGAGAGAGAGACATCGATGTGAAAGGGATACATCGAATGATTGCCACCCACATGACCCCAACCAGGGCCAGGGACAAACTGCAACCAAGGTACATGCCTTTAGCGGGAACCGAACCCGGGACTCTCTGGTCCACAGTCTGACGCTCTAACCGCTGAGCCAAACCAGCCAAGGCCTTCGTTATTTTTTTATTTAAAAACTGCATTGGCCCGGCCGGTGTGGCTCAGTGGTTGAGCTTCGACCCTTGCACCAAGAGGTTGCCGGTTCGATTCCCTGTCAGAGCACATGCCCAAGTTGTGGGCCCGATCTCCAGTGGGACACATGCAGGAGGCAGCCAATCGATGTTCTCTCTCATCGATGTTTCTCTCTCTCCTTTCCTCTCTCTAAAATCAATAAAGAGGAAATATTTAAAAACAAAAAACAAAAACTGCATTGGCCTATCTTTTGTTCTCTGTGTTGTCTCCCTCCAGTCCTTCCTCTGTATTATTGCCAGAGTGATCGTTCTAAAATTCAAACATGATCATATCATTCCCTTACTTTTAGTCCTTCAGCAGCTGTCTGTTGCCCATTAAAGAAAGTGAAGTCTTTAACTCAGCATATTAGACCTGTCTTGGTTTGCAAATCATCTATCTGCACATGCACACGCACCCACACTCTTACCTGTGCTCACATTGCCTCCTAAACTCCCTGGAGTGCGCCTGCTCTTTTAGCCTCTGCCTTGTGGCTTGTTTTCCCTGCTCTGCATGTGCTTCTCCCTGCTCTCGTCCTGTCCACTCAGAAGTCATTGAAAACTCAGCTTACTCATCCTTCCCCACAGAGAAATTCTCTTTTTCTCTCTTTCTTGCAGTGGTGCTTTTCTCTGGTACCACTTGTACTCTTTTTTTTTTTAATCCTCACCTGAGGATATTTTTTCATTGATTTTTAGATAGAGGGGAAAGGAGGGAGGGAAAGAGAGAAAGAAATATCGATGTGAGAAAGACACATTAATCGGTTTTCTCCCGCCCAACCCTGGCCAGGGCCAGGGATCGAACCACAACTGAGGTACGTGCCCTTGACCAGAATCAAACCTGCAACCCTTTGGTCCACAGGCTGACTCTCCAACCACTGAGCAAAACTGGCCAGCACTGGCACTTGTACTTTCTTTTCTATCTCCCTTATTAAAAACAATGAGTTTCTTGAGAATAGGAATCATCTCTATATATTCCCAGTGCCTAACATTTGCTAGAATGTGGATGTTCAGAATTTTTCTTTGACAAGTGAAGTAATGTCAACTACAGATACCATTTTAATGAGATAGTCATCTCAGTGAAGCCAAAGAGAAAGTCATGAGGAAGTTTGTACCTTGCTAGAGTGTAAGCTTTCTCAAGACAGTCCTTATCTGTCCTGTTCATCACCGATTTCCAGGGTCTAGAATGGGGTCTGGCACACAGAAGGTGCTGAGGAAATGTTGACCTTCAGCCTAAAACATCACATTGATATACCCACCTTTTAATACACTTTCTTAATGGGGACTGACCAGATTCTTTTTTTAACTTTCATTAACTTAATACCATTATAATATCAGCATTCCAACAGTGGATGGGAAAACAGTAGGCTGTTTGTTATCCAGTAAATATGTATTAACTGTATGCCGTGTGCCAGGCATTGTTCCTGGAGACACAGCAGGAAACAGAGATCCCTGCCTTTGGGATGTTACATTCTAATAGAATAAACAAGATAAATATGAAATGTGGGTGTACATGATGCGATAAGTATTATGGAGAAAAGTAAAGCAGATTAGGGGCAAAGGGTGACTACTGCGGGGTAGGAGAGGGAGGAGGCGAGGTGTGTTGTAGAAGGACTGGGGCAGGGGGTTAGAGAGATGACATTTGAACACAGACCTGAGTGGAGTGAGGGAAAAAGCGACAGGAAGATCTAAGAGGGAGTCTGTTGGGCAAAGAACAGTCGGTGTTAAAGGCCTTGGCATTTTCAAGGAAAAGGACACTGTGACTAGAGCAGGGAGATGAGGTTGATGAGTGGCCAAGGACAGAGGGACCAGAGACAGTCAACATGGACAACTTTTTCAAGGAGTTTTGCAGTAAAGGAGAGCAGAAAATAATTTCAATCGACAAGAGAGAGATGTGTTCATTAAGATGTTTATGTTTGTCCATTAAGATGGAGAAGATCTAGCAAGTTTGTGTGCTGGTGGTAATGATCCAGCAGAGAAGGCACACTTTAGAATGCAAGAGGGGAGAATCCCTGGAGCCATGAACCTGAATGGGCACGAGGAGCACAGCCCGTTCACGTACAGTGAGTGGGAAGGCAGAGGTGTGGGCACAGATGCAGGCAAGGGAGTGGATGTGGCTGGTGAAAGGAGCTTATGAACGTTAAGTACTCTTTTGATTGCTTTTCTCTTCTGAGTGAAATAAGAAGCAAGACATTAGCACAGAGTACAGATGCAAAGGAGGTGTTGGAGGTTTCAAGAGAAAAGAGAATGTATGAAGTAGGGCATATGGGTGATGTTTGATCAAATAGCACATGAGTCCACATGCTCACCTGGCTTTGTCCTGGACATACCTGGGCTTTTTGGCTGATATGTTGAACCCCCTAAAAGAGGCAGTAAGACCAAAGTAACCGTGTGAAAATTAGGTAGATGTTACCTGTGACGTGATGTGTTCTGACTTATTGCATTTGGGGCTTGTGGCCCTTCAGCTGGACTCTTAAGTTCTTATTTCCATTCTTTTTTGTACCAGTTGAAAGCTACTAAAATAATGCTGCAGTCTGCAGTTAAAATCTTCATCTTGAATGTCATTCATATTGCCCAGTATGTCTTTGAAAATTTGAAAGCAGACAACTTAAAATCATAGCAGTGTTTGAAATAGTACTTTTATTTTTTCATTTTTTTCTTTTATTGATTTTTAGAAAAAGGAAAGGAGAAGAAGAGACAGAAACATTGATGAGAGAGAACATCGATGGCTGCCTCTTGCAAGACCCCCACTGGGGATGGGGCCCCCAACCTGGGCATGTGCCCTTACCAGGAATTGAACCGGTGACTTCTTGGTGCATGCATCGACACTCAACCACTGAGCCACACCGCTGGGTTCAGTATTCTTTATTATATATTCAGAGAGATGTGCTTAATAATTGCAGACTCAAAGCATTTTTTGTTGTTGTTGTTTAACAAAGACTTTATGTACTCTAGTCACATGGAATAGACTTAATTTGTTTAAAAAAAGAAAAAAAGAACCATGCCCAGCCAGTGTGGCTCAGTGGATTGAGTGTCATCCCATGGACTGAGAGGTCCCGGTTCGATTCCTGGTCTGGGCACATGCCTGGGTTGGGGTGTGCAGGAGGCAACTGATCGAGGTATCTCTCTCATATCAATGTTTCTATCTCTTTCTTCCTCTCTAAAAAATCAATAAGAACTTATTGCCCTGGCCATTTTGGATCAGTAGTTAGAGCATCGACACTCGGACCAATGAGTCACGGGTTTGATTCCGTCAAGGGCACATACCTCAGTTGTGGTTCATCCCCAGCCCTGGTTGGGGTCATGTGGGAGGCAACCAGTCGATGTCTCTTTCTCACATCAATGTTTTTCTCTCTCTCTCCTGCTCTCTCCCTCCCTCTCACTCTATCTGAAGATAAATGGAAAAATATCCTCAGGTTAGGATTTGAAAAAGACTTATTAAAAAAAAAAAAAAGAGCAATGGCCAGGTAGCTCAATTGGTTATAACGTCGTCCCAATATGCCAAGATTGTGGGTTTGACCTCTGGTCAGGGCACATGCAAGAATCAACCAATGAATGCATCAATAAGTAGAACAACAAATCTCTCTCTCTCTCTTTCTCTCTCTCTCTCTCGATCAATTTTTAAAAATTTGTAATTAGAAAAAAAAAGATACAATGGTGTTGACTTGTACCACTTGGAAACAAAAAATAGGGTTGAGCACATCAGAGAAAATACTGGAGGGCAATCTTTGGTAGCTGCAGGAAATGGCGACCAAGCCTGGGTAGTAATAAGGAGGAGGAACAGGTTTTAGCTGAACTCTTGGATAGCAGTCCAGAGCCTTGGTGTGGGGCTCAGCTTTGGGGAAGGGAGGAAGTAGGTGTTTTAAAGAAAGATTTATTTTTTTTAAAAAAAGGCCAACCGGTGTGGCTCAGTGGTTGAGCGTCGACCCATGCACCAAGAGGTCACCGGTTCGATTCCCAGTCAGGGCACATGCCCAGGTTATGGGCCAAATCCTTAGTAAGGGGCATGCAGGAGGTGGCCAGTTGATGTTCTCTCTCATTGATGTTTCTGTCTTTCTTTCTCTCTCTAAACATCAATAAAGAAAAAAAGGTTTTAAATAATAAAGATTTAGGTCAAGGGTGATCAGCAAGGCAAGGTTATGGAAGATGCTGAGGGAGAAGGGCCTTGTACCAAAGAACGTGTGTGATACACACTTAAATCATTCTAGTTCTTGCATGGTGAGAGTGAATTTAATAACCTGCCACCGCCCACAGCCACCAGGGGTTGACTGGGAACTGAGCCAGAACAGGAATAGGGAACTGGTCTGCTAAGTATTTTCCTTAGTGCAAGTACTCCTGCTACTCGAAATTATTTTAGTTGCTTAATATGCATTATTTTTACTTGGACGGTTATATATTTTATTATGTACAGAAAAAAATTTATATAGCACATCAAATTCATGATTTCAAAGATTGCATTGTTTAAGATAAGAGTACAATAGGCGATACATTTTTTACCAAAAGTGAACAATTTAAAGACACGTGTTAAGCAAATAATAGAACAGGTATTGTTAAGATGGCAAAAGTTACCAATGACTGAAGTTTGAAAAAACTTGTCTAGAGCATGGGTTGAATGTTTATTTTAAGGAGAATATGATAGAAGCCTAGTAGATATTCTATTAATATGTTTTTTTTTCTTTCCTTAGCTGGGCTTTGCAGATCTAAACCTGGCAGAGTTTGCTGGATCAGGAAATACCACTCGTCGCTGTTTACTGGAAGGCTATGATACCAAAAATACAAGACAGGATAATTCCATTCTTAAAGTAAGCACGGTTCAAGATTTACATGTCAACAAATGAGATTCTCTGCTTTTAAATAAGCATAGGTGTATACTGTCAAGGGCAAGATACATATCAGTACTGAGATCATAAGCTGAGCACAGCACTGAGATACTCACCACCTAGGGAAAAAACCAACCAAATCACAGAAGCAGTGAAAAGTAACCAGATTTCAACTTCATGATCCTAAGGTGTTTTTCTCTGGTGCTGTGACCATTCAGGAAACAAGTCACCCGACCACTGCAGCCTCGGGGCTCATTGGAAGAAGGAGCACAATGGATGAATACCTTAAAATATTTATAGCTCCCGCCCTGACCAGTTTCTCTCAGTGGTTAGAGCATCAGCCAATGGACCAGAGAGACCCGGGTTCAGTTCCCACTAAGGGCACGTACCTCAGTTGCAGTTTGTCCCCAGCCCCGGTTGGGGTCATGTGAGTGGCGACCAGTCGATGTGTCTATCACATCAATGTTTCTTTCTCTCTCTTCCCCCCCTGTCTCCCTCCTGCTGTATCTGGAGATAGATGCACAAATGTCCTTGGGTGAGGATAAATATATATATATTTAAATATATATATATATAAAAATAATAAAAATAATAAAAATATATATATAAATATATATATAAATATATTTATATATTTAGCTCCCAAAAGATCACTTCCAGGGCAGCAGTGGTGGCTATGTAGAGTCCTCCTGTAACTAGTGAAGTATTTATTTAAAGTTTTCAAACTTTGTTTTCAGTAAATATTTAGCTCTGAAGATGTAAAAATGCATGAGGTGGTGATTATAACGGGTCCATTCCTTGCACAAATTCAGCAGCAATAAAGAAAGGAGGGATGTAGTTGGGATGGAAAGGAAGATGGTGAAAAAAGACAAGCAGGAAATTAGAAAAATAACATGGTATAAACTTCTGTGCACATCAGGTTGATTTTATGCTTTTATGGTTATCTCTGTGTAACTGAAAGATTTTCAAAGCACTTGCACTTACCTCTGTGAAATAGACAGGGTTGGCTAGACGAGCACAGATTATCTCCATCTGTAAGTGAAGAGGCTGAGACTCAGAAGGTTAAGTGTCTCGCCAAGTAGTGGGTGGCAGAGCTGAGACCGGAATGCATATCTTCTACCTGCTCAGTGACCTTTCCACGTCCCCATGTTATAAGCATCAGACTCAAAGGAAGTAGACCACACTGCTCATTCTTAGACTGATCCTGAACAGCCACTGAATTCAGTTTCTTTATATATTGTATATAAGAAGATGGTTAATCATCTCTGAATTATGGTGTTTTTATTGGAAATTGAAGTAACTTTTACACTTCAGACCCCTACATTCCTTCTGGCAGCTCCCTACCGATCCTTCCACACTATTTCTCCCACTTTGTCCTGGTCTTTTATGGATCCTGATCCTGCCATTCAGCTCTCACACTCTCTCCTTTCTGATCTCTGTCATCTCCTGGCCACTTAATTACCTTCTCTCTCCTACTCATTGATGACTTCGCTGCTGGCTCACAGTTAATCTTTCCATTTCTTCTGTCCTCATTTTTTGGTGGCTTCACCATCTGTGTGGGTGGTCTGCTCTGGTGGACTTTTTCTTTTTTTTATCCTCACTCGACATTTTTGCATTTATCTTCAGATAGAGCGGGAGGGAGAGAGGGAAGAAAAGAGAGAGAGAGAAACATCGACATGATAGAGACACATCAAGTGGTTGCCACCCACACGACCCCAACCAGGGCCGGGGACAAACTGCAACCGAGGTTCCTGCCCTTAGTAGGAACCAAACCCGGGACTCTCTAGTCTGCAGGCCAACGCTCTAACCACTGAGTGAAACCGGCCAGGGCTGGACTGTCTTCTGTATGTATTCTCTCCCTCTAATCTTATATATGCCTAAAGACTCTCTGTTCTTTAAACTACCCACCGCCATCAACCTTTCCTTTTCTTCATTCATCTCAATTCTTATTCCCACGGTCACACCAGACTTTCTTACCACTAGAAATTTCACCACCTCCAAAATTTCAGTTCAAAGTATTCCTGTCTCCTATTACTATCTCTTATGTTTCTAGTCCTCTTTGTCTACTTCTCACTTAACTATCCTTAACTTTATCACTTTCTCGCTCTCCACTTGCTTTTACTTCCCTCTTTATCCAGCTTAGATTCCATGATCCATGATTATCATAACCTTAAAAATGCACCTTGCTTCTTTGCTCTGTCTCCCTCCATTGCTGTCCCGTGAATAATTTCCAACCCTAATCACACTCAGCTGTCCTCTCTGGGTCTGTGTCCTCGTTCAACATTGCTGGAGAAATCACCACGTCTAGTTGTTACTAACATCATGCTCACCACCATCAAGCAGTCATACTCTATTTCCTTTGTATGCTATGCTTTCTTTTCCAATTACCTACGTATCCTTTTTCTTTTCTTTTTTTAAAATCATTTCTAATTTTTCAATTACAGTTTACATACAATATTAGTTTCAGGTAAACACTCCAGTGATTAGATATTATATAACTTACTAAGTGATCATCCCAATAAATCTTGTACCCATCTGAGACCATACATAGTTATTAGAATATTATTGACCATATTTTCTATGCTCCACATCCCCATGACTGTTCTGTAACAACCAGTTTGTACTTCTCAATCTCTTCACCCCTATCACCCATCCTCCCAACCCCACTCCCATCTGGCTACCATCAAAATGTTCTCTGTATCTATGAGTCTGTTTCCATTCTACTTCTTCATTTATTTTATTTCTTAGATTTAGTTGTTGATAGATATGTATTTATTGCCATTTTATTGTTCATATTTTTAATCTCTTTTTTTTTTAATTCTTAAAGAAAACCCTTTAACATTTCATATAATACTGCTTTGGCTTCATCTTGTCTGAGAAGCTCTTTGTATGTCTTTCGATTCTAAATGATTACTGGGTAGAGTAATCTTAGTTGTAGGTCCTTGCTTTTCATCATTTTGAGTATTTCTTTTTTGAACTTTTTTTTATTAATTAATTTGTTTTTATTCAAGATGTTTCTCCTTTCCCCCCCACACACACCCTCCTCCCAATCCTGCCCCTCCCCCACCCCCCATTTTGAATATTTCTTGCCAGTCCCTTCTGGCCTGTAAAGTTTCTGTTGAGAAAGTTTCTGACAGTCTTATGGGAGCGCCCTTGTAGGTAACTAATTGCTTTTCTCTTGTGGCTTTTAAGATTCTCTCTTTGTCTTAAACCTTTTGCATTTTAACTATGATGTGTCTTGGTGTGGGTCTCTTTGGGTTCATCTTGTTTGGGACTCCCTGTGCTTCTAGGACTTGTATGTCTATTTCCTTTACCAGGCTAGGAAACTTTTCCATCTTTTATTTATTTTTTTTTTTCATCCTCACCCAAGGACATTTTTGCATTTATCTTCAGATAGAGCAGGAGGGAGAGAGGTAGGAAGAGAAAGAGAAACATTGATGTGTCTGGGAGAGAGACATATTGAGTGGTTGCCACCCACATGACCCCAACCAGGGCCGAGGCAAACTGCAACCAAGATACATGCCCTTAGCGAGAATCAAACCCAGGACTCTCTGGTCTACGGGCTAACGCTCTAACCACTAAGCCAAACCGGCCAGGGCTCCATTATTATTTTTTTTTAATATTTTTTTTTAACCTCACTGGAGGACATTTTTACATTTTTTTGTTCAGATAGAGTGAGAGGGAGAGAGAGAGAGAAACATCAATATGAAAGGTACACATCGAGTGGCTGCCACCCGCACGACCAACCAGGGCCAGGGACAAACCGCAACCGAGGTACATGCCCTTAGCGGGAACCAAACCCAGGTCTCTCTGGACCGCAGGCCAACGCTCTAACCGCTGAGCCAAACCAGCCAGGGCCAAACCCATAACTCTTTAGTCTGCAGTCCAATTCTCTAATCATTCAGCAAACTAGCCAGGGTTGGATTATTTTTTCTCTTGGCTATTCTGATTGGGTGTTTTTTGCTGCTTCATATTCCAAATTGTTGTTTTGATTCTCAATTTCATCTACTCTACTGTTGATTCCCTGTAAATTTGTCTTCATTTCAGTTGGTGTATCCTTCATTTCTGACTGGTTCTTTTTTATAGTTACCATGTCCTCTTTTTATGCCGTTGAAGTTCTCTCTAAGTTCATCAACTGTTCCCATAAGTTCATTGAACTTATAACAATGATTTGAACTCTGCATTTAGTAGATTGCTTATCTCCATTTTGTTTCATTCTTTTTCTGGAGTTTTGTTCTTTTGTTTGAGACATTGTCTTTGTATCCTCATTTTACAGCCTCCCTGTGTTTGTTTATATGTATTAGGTAGAACCACTACATCTCCTAGGCTTGACAGAGTGGCCTAATGTAGTAGGTGTTCTGTAGGGTCCAGTGGTACAGGCTCCTTAATCACCCAATCAGGGTACTCCAGGTGCATGCCTCTCCCCCCCCCCCCCCCCCCCGCCACGTGGTCTGTATACACCATCCTGTTGTAGTTGAGGTTCGTTTGTAGTTTGATTGCTTTTGGCATGTCAGTGAGAGGGATATACCTCCAGGCTGATCAGCTATAAGGACTGGCTGCCACTGCTGACCACCATAGAGGGTCAGCTGTGCAGGGTCCCAACCCACAGAACAGGACTTACTTCAGCAGGGTTTGGTGCCTGCTGAGTCCACCCCTTGAGTATGTTGCTTTTGGAGGTAGTTGAGATGTGGTCTGAAGCTATCCATCTGGTCTTGTTGGCCCTGGGACCTCCTGGGAGGTGCAGGCCAAGGTCAGCCAACACCTGTGTTCTGTCCACAGCCACTTTGCATGAGCTAAAAAGAATCTGCTGATGGCTGCTACTTGTGCTGGGTTTGGAGGTGCCCAAGTGAGGCCAAGCTGCACACCAAGCCTGGCTGCTGCTAGTGCCAGACCTGGGCCACTTAGCAAGAGGTACAGGGCAAGCTGAGGCCAGATGCTGCTTATCTGAGAGATTTGAGGAAAGTCTGAAGCTTGAGACAAGACAGACTATTTGTGTGGAAAAGCGGCTGGAAACAGCTTGGGGGGGTGGGGCACATGTTGGATAGGGTCTCAGGGAATCACCAGGGTGAGGCGAATAGTGTGAGCCAGGTTGATGGAAACTTGCCCTGGCCAGTTTGGCTCAGCGGTTAGAGCATCAGCCTGCGGTCCAGAGAGACCCAGGTTTCGTTCCTGCTAAGGGCGAGTACCTCGTTTGCAGTTTGTCCCTGGCCCTGGTTGGAAGTGCGGGTGGCAGCCACTCGATGTGTCCCTTTCACGTCGATGTTTCTCTCTCTCTCTCTCTCTCTCTCTCTCTCTCTCTCTCTCTCTATTCCTCTCTCTCCCTCCCACTCTATCTGAACAAAAAATGGAAAAATGTCCTTGGGTGAGGATAAAAAAAAAAAGAAAGAAACTCAGGGCACCCACCTGCCAGTCAGCTCTGTGGGGGAAGGGCTCATTAATGAAACAGTGGCCTCTGCTCTGGCTGGTTTCGTTCAGTGGTTAGAGCATTGGCCCACAGACCAAAGAGTCCCGGGTTCAATTCCAGCCAAGGGCACCTACCTTGGTTACGGTTCATCCTCGGACCCGGGTTGGATCCTGTAGGTGGCAACCAGTTGATATGTCTCTCTCACATCAATATCTTTTTCTCTCTCCCTCTTTCTCTCTCTCTCCCTCCCACTCTGTCTGAAGATACATGTAAAAAAAATCTTCAGGTGAGGATTAAAAAAAAAAAAGAAACAGTTACTTCTGCAGGCACTTTTGTCTGGCAGAAAGCTTCCCTCCCCCACTCCCCAGCTCTCATCCTGACGCCAGACAATTTAGTTCCTTCCTGTATGTCCCTGGTGCCATTAGAGCTGCTGCCCCAGTGCTGGAGCTCAGAGGAAATGAGTCCGAGTGAGTCCCCGCATGGACCCTTTAAGAGGAACTGCCCGAGACTCCAGCAGCCTACTGTCTCTCAGCCACAATCCATGCTGGTTTTTACAGCCAGACATACATATTCTTTTTCATAGCTTCTTTCTCCTCATATCTCCACACACCACTCTTGCTCTCAGCTAATGGTTTGGCTTTATCTTTTATTAAGAAAATAGATGCCATTAAACTCAAATTCTCTCCTCTTCCCATCATAGAATTTGCGAGTCTTCCTGTCTCTCCAGCTGTTATCCATTTTGCCTCCTCTTACAATGAATGAAGTATCCCTCAGCCTGTGAGAAGTCAGCCCCTCCTCCTAGGTTCTAGAATCCAAAGCTTGCCTAATCAAGAGCTTTGCCCCTTAGATGATCCCTTTACCTAATCATCTCTCCCTTTAATGAACCATCCTCATTAACATATGAAGAAACTACTCTGGCAACTTCTCATCTCTTCCAACCACTGCTGCACTTTTTTTTTTCATATATTTTTATTGATTTTTTAGAAAAAGAGGAAAGGAGAGGGAGAGAGAAACATCATTGTGAGAGCAAAACATCGATCGACTGCCTACTGCATGCCCCACCAGGGATGAAGCCCAAAATCCAGGCATGTGCCCTGACTAGGAATTGAACCAGCAACCCTTCGGTGTACGGGACGATGCCCAAACAACTGAGCCTCACCAGCCAGGGCCTATGGCTGATTCTTTTTTTCTTTCTCTTTTTTTTTTTAGATAGAGTGGAAGGAAGGGGGTGGATAGAAGAGAGAGAGACACACATGGATTGGTTGCCTTCCGTACAACCCTGACTGGGGCCGGGGATAAAACCTGCAACCCAGGTATGTGCCCTTGACTGGGAATTGAACCCTTGACCCTTTGGTTCCATGGAATGATGCTATAACTGCAGAGCCAAACCAGTCAGGGCATATGGCTGATGCTTTTTTTTTTTTTTTTCCCCCTTTATTGATTTTTAGAGAGAGGGGAAGGGAGAAGGAGAGAGAGCTAGAAATATTGATGAGAAAGAACATCGATTGGCTGCCTCCTGCATGCTCCTCCCCACTGGAGATTTGGCCCACAACCTGGGCATGTGCCCTGACCGGGAATCAAACCTGCGACTTCTTGGTGGATGGGTCAATGCTCAACCACTGAGCCACACTGGCTGGGCCGTTTTTTTTATTTATTTTTGTTAACAGATGTTTCTCCTTTTTCCCCCATTGACACCCTCCTCCCGACACCCCCCCGCCCCCAGCATTGTTATCTATGTCCATTGAGTATGCTTATATGCACATAAGTTCTTTGGTTTATCTCATCCCTCTCCCCCGACTCCCCTCCTCTAAGGTTTGTCCGTCTGAACCCTACTTATATATCTCTGGGTCTATTTTGTTCATTATATTTCACAAATAAGCGAGATCATGTGATACTAGTCTTTCTCTGACTGGCTTATTTTGCTTGGCATAATACTCTCCAGGTCCGTCCATGTCATCTCAAAGGATAAGAGATCTTTCTTAGAGCTGCATAGTGTTCCATTGTGTATACGTACCACAGCTTTTTTATCCACTCATTTATTGATGGACACCTGGGCTGTTTCTAGATCTTAGCTATTGTAAATAGTGTATATATATTCTTTCTGATTGGTATTTCAGGCTTCTTAGGGTATATTCCTAGAAGTGGGATCACTGGGTCAAATGGCAGATCAATTTTTAATTTTTTGAGGTAACACCATAGTGTTTTCCATAGTGGCTGCACCAGTCTGCATTCCCACCAGCAGTGTACTAGAGTCCCCTTTTGTCCACACTCTCACCAACACTTGTTGTTTGATGATTTGTTGATGGCAGCCATTCTGACAGGTGTGAGGTGATACCTCAGTCGTTTTAATTTGCATCTCTCTGATAGTTAGTGATGTTGAGCATTTTTTCACATATGGCTGATTCTTTTTTTTTTTTTTTTTTTTATCCTCACCCGAGGACATTTTTCCATTTTTTGTACAGATAGAGTGGGAGGGAGAGAGAGGAAGAGAGAGAGAGAGAAACATCGATGCGAAAGGGACACATCGAGTGGCTGCCACCCGCACGACCATCCAGGGCCGGGGACAAACTGCACCCGAGGTACATGCCCTTAGCGGGAACCGAACCCGGGTCTCTCTGGACCGCAGGCGGACGCTCTAATCGCTGAGCCAAACCGGCCAGAGCACTTATGGCTGATTCTTAAAAAGCAGTCAGCAACTAGCAAACAGCAGCATCTCAGAAAATATCCTCCAAGATTTAAATTCTGATCTAAAGCCGGGGCAAAGGCGGGAAGCATTCTCCTCTTACCAGCCACCAGCAGGCACCCCTTGAAGTGACAGCATGGCAAGTTGGAGGGAAACTCTTGAGATAAACCCTACCAGCACAGCACACAGCACTGTTACTGCTGAAGCACTGGCTTTCTGTTTCCATCTTTTCCACTCTGATTTTTGCAATTACGAAGTTTTGAGTATTAAAATTTATTTTTAATCTATGTTTGTATAAAGTAGCTATTTAATATTGAATGTAATCTAATTCAGCAGTCATTTTCTCCCATCCTTTCTGAGTAGGAAATACTGAATGAGCTGCTCTGGAGGGTGCATGCCTTAGAGAACGTGGCTTCTCTCAGGAGACCTCGTATAATCACAGGCTTTCTTTTTCTTATGTTTAGGTTTTAATCAGTATGCAGCTGATGTCTGGTGACCCATGTTTTAAAACGTAAGTCAATACTCAGTAAGTGAGTTATTTTCTGAAAATACAATAGTGATTTATTTGTTTCAAGTTTTAGAGTCCTATTATGTAGTGTTTACAAGCTAATACCAGTGAAGGGGGGATAGTTTCTCTCCTGGGTGACTGACCTGACCCTCACAGAAGTTACTGTTATCTGTTACCCAATGAGCTCTCCACACCCTGAATTATTTAAACTACAGGTCTTTTGTTATCTCCAGGTTTTGTGTGAAATTAGAAAAATTAATAATTTTTATTTGACCTCTGTAGACTTATTCATATCTTCAATAAATACCCAGTAAGTATCTTACCATGTGCTAGGCTCTGTTCTAGACCTGACAAAGAGCAGGGGAAAATAGACCAGGTCCCTTACATCTTGGAACTTATATTCTGAAACAAACAACAAACTAACAAGTAAATATATAATGTAAAGATGGCAGTGAGTACTTTGGAGATAAATAAAGCAGGGTAGGAGGACCAGGTGGGGGGTAAGTGTTACTGCTTTATATGAAGTAGTCCCGCCCTGGTAAAGATGATATTTGAAGGAGACGGGAAGCAGGCCATGCAGGTGTTTGGAGAAAGAGCATTTGAGAGAGAAGTAATGAAGACAAAGGCCTTCAGGGAGGAGTGTGTTTGGCCTATTCAAGTCACTGCCAGGAGACCAGTGTGTCGAGAGCAGAGTGAACGAGGAGGAGGGTAATAGGAGATGAGACCAGCTGATAAAGGATTTTGTGGCCATTATAGTAATAGTCTCATAGGCTACTTATAATCTAAATGAGATAAAAATCTCCTGGAGGGTTTAGAGCAGAGGAATAAAATGATCTAACTTACGGTGCTAAGTAGGAAATGCAATTTGTGAGAGCAGTGCAGGGGGCAGGCGAGAAGCAGGGAGAGGAGTTAGGCAGCTGTTCCATGGTTTGGGGGCTAAGTGACTAGGAGAAGGGTTTTTCCATGCACTGAAATGAACAGGTTGGGTGCTTGGGTGTTGGACATGTTAACTTTGAAATCCCTATTTCATATCCTTCCGGCATGTCAAGGGGGCAGTTGGATATGTGACTACAGAGTTCAGTGGGAAGCCCAGGTTGGAGAAACAAATTTGGAAATCATGACATTGTCAGCACATAGATACCCATTAAAACTGTGAGATTTGATTAAGGGACAGAAAGGGAGTGAGTATAAATAAAGAAAAGGACCACAGACTGAGGTGTGGGACACTCAGGCACGTTAGAGTTTGGGGAGCCAGCGAAAAACCAGCGAAGTAACAACCAGTGAGGTAGGAGGAAGGCACCAAAGGACAGCAGTCCTGAGAACCAGGTGAAGAACCTGTTCCAAACAGGAGGGAGTGATCGACAGTCACACAGGATGGAAGTAGGCCACGGAAATGAGGACTGAGGACTGACCTTTGGATTTTGCAATATAGACATTATTGGTGATCTTGACAAGCAATTCGGTAGAATACTCTTAGACTATAACCTTATTGGTTTGGGTTAAAAAGATTTTGGAAGAGAAAATTTGGAAATAGTACAGCGATGTTCCCCCCATCCACTGTTTCACTTTCCACAGTTTTAGTTATCCATGGTCAGTCATGGTCCAAAAATATTAAATGGAAAATTTCAGAAATGAACAGTTCATAAGATTTAAGTTGCATGCCATTCTGAGTAGCATGATGGAATATCATGCTGACCTGCTCTGTCACTCCTTTGATGTAAATCCCTTTGTCCAGCATCTCCACGCTGTATACACTCCCCACCCGTTAGTTATTTAGTAGCCGTCTTATGAGATCAACTGTCACGGTATCACAGTGCTTGTGTTCAGGTAACCCTGATTTTATTGTTATAGCTGTTCTCTTTTATTATTAGTTATGGTTGTTAATCTCTCACTGTGCCTAATTTATACAATGAACTTTATCATAGCTATGTATGTACAGGAAAAAACAGTACATACAGGGTTTGGTACTGTCCACAGTTTAAGCATCAACTGAGGGTCTTGAAACAGATCCCCCACAGATAAGGGGGATGACTGTGTTTGTTTATTGATAGAATGGTCTCGATGAGAGGGAGAAACATGAGGTAGAAGAGAAAAGGGACAGTTGCTAGAACAGTGACCTTGGGTTGTCGAGAGGGATGGAGGCAGAGAACAAGGCTGCAGGTGCAGTGGAAGCATATAGGAGTTGTTTTCAGATTGCTCCTGGTGTGCTAGTGAAATGGGAAACCAGGTGATCACTGGAGAGCAAGGATGTGAAATGTGGAGGTGTGGGTTTGAGGGAAGAGGAATGCTGTGTAAAGGCTTCTCAGAGTGGGCGAGTGAACTGACTGGGAGAACATAGGGATTGCCTGTCAGCAATTTGAAGACACTTAGTAATTAAACAAGCAAGTTAATTAAGTATTATTTAAATATCTGAGAAAGATACATTTAGAAAAGTAAAGAAAACATGAATCACTTCCCTAAGCATCACTTCATGTTTTTCTAACTCATTTTTATTGTTGAATGTATTACAGATGTTTCTCCCTTTTTTCCCCATTGACCCCTCCTCCCCAATCCCGCCCCCCTCCTGCCTTCCCCACACTATTGTTGGTGTCCATTGTTTATGCATATATGCATAGACATTCTTTGGTTTATCTCATCCCGCCCTCCCTCCCTCCAAGGTTCATCAGTCTAACAACAAATTTGTACTTCTTAATTCCTTCATCTTTTTCACCCATCCCCCCAGCCCCCACCCATCTGGCAAGCAACAAAATGTCTCTGTATCTATGAGTCTGTTTCTGTTCTGCTTGTTCATTTTGTTTGTATATTCAATTATTGATAGATATGTATTAATTGCCATTTCATTGTTTATATTTTTGTTCTTCTTCACCTTCAAGAAGACCCTTCAACATTTCATGTAATACTGGTTTAGTGGTGGTGAAGTCCTTTAGCTTTTTCTTGTCTGGGAAACTCTTGATAAATCCATCAATTCTAAATGAGAACTTTGCAGGATAGAGTAATCTTGGTTGTAGGTCATTGCTTTTCATCACCTTGAATATTTCTTGCCATTTCTTTCTGGCCTGCAAAGTTTCTTTTTTTTTTTTTATCCTCACCCAAGGACATTTTTTCATTTTTTGTTCAGGTAGAGTGGGAGGGAGAGAGAAGAACAGAGAGAGAGAGAGAAACATCGACGTGAAAGGAACACATCGAGCGGCTGCCACCCGCACGACTGACCAGAGCCGGGGACAAACTGCAACCGAGGTACGCGCCCTTAGCGGGAACGGAAGCCAGGTCTCTCAGGACCGCTGGCCGACGCTTTAACCGCTGAGCCAAACCGGCCAGGGCTGCAGTTTCTTTTGAGAAATCAGCTGACAGTCTTATGGGAGCTCCTTTGTACATAATGGACTGCTTTTTTCTCGCTGCTTTTAAGATTCTCTCTTTGTCTTTAACTTTTTGCATTTTGATGATGTGTCTTGGTGTGGGCCTCTTGGGGTTCAACTTGTTTGGGACTCTCTGTGCTTCCTGGACTTGTCTGTTTCCTTCACCAAGTTAGAGAAGTTTTCTGTCATCATTGTTTCAAGAAGATTTTCAATTTCTTGCTCTCTCTCTTCTTTAGGCACCCTTATTTTGCGAATGTTGGCACACTTAAAGTTGTCCCAGGGGTTCCTTACACTATTCTTTTTTCTTTTTGCTGTTTTGGTTGGGTGATTTTTTTGCTTTCTTTTATTTCAAATCAATAGTTTGCTTCTTGGCTTTACCTGCTCTACTATGGAATCTCTGTAAATTATTCTTTATTTCAGTTAGTGCATCCTTAATTTCTGACTGGTCCTTTTTGATGTTGTTGTTGTTCTCACTAGTTCCTCGGAGGTCTCCTTAAGTTCCTTGAAGGTCTCACTAAGTCCCTTGAATGTCTCACCAAGTTCCTTGAGCAACCTTATAACCTGTGTGTTTTTTTTTATTTTTTATTATTATTATTTTTAAATTTTGAGTTCTTTTTTTTTCCTTTATTGATTTGAGAGAGGTAGGAACATCCATGAGAGAGAACATCGATTGGCCGCCTCCTACATGCCCCCCACTGGGGACCAGGCCCATAACCTGGGCATATGCCCTAACCAGTACTCGAACTGGCGACCTCTTGGTGCATGGGTCATTGCTCAACCACTGAGCCACATTGACTGGGCATAACCTGTGTTTTGAACTCTGCATCCGATTGATAGCTTATCTCCATTTTGTTTAGTTCTTTTCCTGGAGTTTTGTTCTGTTCTTTCATTTGGGACATGTTTCTTTGTCTCTTCATTTTGGTTGCTTCCCTGTGATTGTTTCTATGTATTAGGTAGAGTTTCTGTGTCTCCTAGGCTTCGTAGGGTGGCCTACTGTTGTAGGTGTCCTGTAGGATTTAGTGGCACAGCCTCCCTGATCAGCCCAGCTGGGCCCTTGAGGTGCACCCCTAGTGTGGACTGTATACCCTTCTGTTGTATTTGATTACTGTTGGCACATCAGGTTGATCAGCTGCAAGGACTGGCTGTGCCCACTGACCACTGGCCTCTGACTCCCTTGGAGGATCAGCTGTGCAGGGGCCCACCACACAGAGCAAGACTTTCTTTAGCAGGGCTCTGGTACCCACTGAGTCCACTCATTGAGTGTGTCACTTGAGGTAGTTGGGTGGTGGTGTTTCATTGTGGTCTGAAGCTGTCCACTGGGTGTGCTGGCTCTGGGGCAAGGTCAGCCACTGCCTGTGTTTGGTCTGGGGCCACCCGGAATAAGCTACAAAGTGATCTGCAGATGGCTGCTTCTTGTGCTGGGCGTGGAGGTATCCAGGAAAAGCCAAGTTGTGAACCAAGTCTGGCTGCTTCTAGTGCCCAGCCTGGGGCCACTTAATGAGAGGTATGGGGGTTGTTGAGACCAGATGCTGCTTGTTTGAGAGATTTTAGGAAACTCTGAAGCAGGATCCAAGACAGGCCAATCCTGTGGTAAAGCCTTTGGGAACAGCTTGGGTGGGCTGAAAGTTGGGTGGGGCGGGGCCTCAG